TTAGTTTGTTTTGTTTTGAATTTCGCGCAAAGCTACACGAGAGCTATCTGCGCTAACCGTCCCTAATTTAGTAGTGAAATGGAAGGAAGCTAGTCATCACTACTCATCGCTTTAAGAAATTTTTGCTTCACTAAAAATAGAACCTGTCTCTATTTTTTCTCATTGCATGGCTCGAAATAACCAAGAAAATGATAATGATATGTAGCCCTTAACAACAACGACATAATAATAATAATAATGTTGCACTTTAAAATACTTTGGAAAGTTAATAAACTAAAAGAATCAAAGAAGGAATTTGTACGGAAACACAACTGAGATTCAATGTATATATATAAAACAATACTATTAGGTTCGTTTTAAGTTGTTGAAAATATCAGTTCAACTATAGGCTACTACTACTGTGGAGATCAGAGCCTACTGTTTTCAAAAGACGATTTATTTTGCAATGGAACAGCCCATCTCTTGTCTGTCCAGTAAAAATATACGAGCAGGGTCATGCATTTATTTCCAGTCTTTTGGAATGTTTCCAATTCAGCAACATCACTAGCATCATACGGGTCCAGTGGCGATAAGTGGATAAGCCCTAAGTGTTTACACAACTTCTCATAATCTTTTTGCTTTGTGATAAATAAAGATTGTTTCAGTTCACATTACACGTATGCAGTCTCTTATTTCTCAAACAGCTTGAAATTCAGGTGGTTTTGAAATTCAGATGTATTCGTAAATTTCCTGCTCAATCCTCCTGTTATTGAGAGGTCTATCCGATCCTTGACGGAAATCAGTTTACCCTAGAATATATCACACACTTATAGCACCTGCAAACACTACTTGGCATTATTTTCATATAGTTGTAGCTGTCTATTCCCACAGGTCACAAATGTATTATTTTTATATACGGATTTTCTAAATAAAAAACTAATAGGATTATAAACAAGAAAACACATTATCAAAGAATCTAGTAACGTGTTTAGATAAAAGGCAATTGTTTGGGCAGATTCATGACTGTTGTGTCGTATTTTCCAAGATCATGTGTCGTTGGCGGTGATGGTTTTAGCTTAAAGCTAATAATAGCTAAATGCGATCTGTCGATTGAGGGAAATGAAACCAGGAGTTTAGGGTTGTACGTTTGTAAACTTACCGTTGACTTACCGAGGACGTCAGATCAAATGAAATTAATGAAAAATAGATTGACTCAAAGCAACAGTAAAGGGTTTATTTAATCTATTTTGTTGAAGTTTGTGAAACATTACTATGTTATTTCCATGTGTCAAACCATTTGCACACTATCTAAAAACCACTCATATTCTTTGCTTGTAAGCTTTATCATGGTAGATACAATTAAAGTGTTTGTTTTGTTGATTTTATCGTGTCTGTTATACAGACTAATTTTTTTGCTTGAAAAAATTTCAAATTTCAACTAATAATAGCAACAACTACAGGTTAATAACGCTATAATCGGCAGATAGTTATAGGACAACACCTTAGCTGCAATTTCTATTGACTGTATTATACATATTCTGTCTCCACTCGGAGACTCGACACTTCTCGTGTTGTATCTCCATACAAGTGCATCACTATTAAACTGCTTTTATATAATGTGTATTTATGTCTCTACTCACACGTATTGAAGGTCACAGGTTGAACAAGAAAGTGCGCGAAACTCATTCCTTGTTATTTGTGAACAAAGATTAAAGGTTACCCTCAGAAAGAGACATCATCGTATGATGCTGTATTTCTTATGCTTCATAACTGAATGAAGATATCTACATGTATTTGATATAATTTCATATATAAAATCAAATGCAATCATATAGTTTGTGGAAACTTAGCGAGAAAACGATGCATGCTTAAAAGCGTTTTCCCGTATCAACATTTTTGCGTGCATTTAGTTAAAACCTTGTGCTTAAAGTGTACATTATCTTGTCCTTGTGAGTTTCCATAAATTAATAACAATATGTACAATTAAAAAGCCTCTACAAGTTCACGAACAGTTCTGACCTAGAAAACGGACAGATTTATCACTTAATTAATGGAGAAAAATTTGATTTAAGAATCATAAACTCCGAAAGTGTTACCTCCTAGCCCCGATCTCTCTCAGCTGCTATAAGGTCGGTAATAAATAAACGATATTTTATACATTCGCCTGTATAAAGTCGCTTTAAACAAATGTATATCCTTCAATATATACATATACGTATGTATGTAAATAACGACAGTCTACAAAACTTGCGTGTCTTTTCCAAACCCTTCTACGCAGTTTTGTTAGACGACATATTTCAGTGGGCCTTTCAGCTGAAAAGGTTTGGAAAACTATACATCCTTAAAGATGTAGATTTAGACTAAATAATAATTCAAACGTCTGTTATGTGTCTAAAGGTTTGAATTTATGGACAGAATGGGAAGTCATATAAGTGGTATGTGAAAATACAATAAAAAACAGTTGCTAACAAAATCACGTTCATTAAGATAATTCTATTATAGCTATATTATTTTACAAACATACATTTTTAGAAGACTGTAACTCTTCAAAATGTATACATTTCCAATAAACCTATTTGTAGGGCGTATGAATTCCTAAAAATATTTCTAATTAATTCTATTACGAATGTAAAATCACTTATTCTGATCAAGGGTGTGAATTCAGACGTTTTTTGGTGTAGCTCCTATATCAGTACTTCACACGCAAAA